GAAAACGTTCGTGGAGCGTGACGTGAAATGAATGCGACCAAGGTTAGACCGAGTGTTGTGCGATGGTTGGAAACCATGCACGATGTGACACACAACAGATCCCGATGGTGCGCATGCTGTCAGTTCTTAGACGGACAGCCTAGCTAAATTTCATTTGATGTTGCGCCGTAAAATGTTGTTGGATAAGGATCGCAAAGGACTCCGTTTTTACCTCTCCGTTGTCACCTTACTTGGACGGGATGTTCCGACGTGTTTATTCCATTGCTATCCAAAGCTGTGGGAACTGTGACCCCGATCACTCCTTAAAGACATTAGGCTTATTCACAAAAATCCTCTGAGGTTCTCCCTTGCTTCCACTATTTACCAAGGTTTTCTTTCCTGTTAGTTGCATGGCAGCATGCTCCCAGTGGTGAGAAGGATGATGATGATGATGATGATGATTGATGATGATGATGATGATGATGATGATGTTGATGATGATGATGACGATGATGATGATGATGATGATGATGATGATGACGGATTGTGCCTAAAGACGTGCGTGTACAAATCTCAAGGTTTGCAATCACGTCTGCCAATATATCATCTGTGGAATGAAAAGGCAGAGCAATTGATCACAGCACTTGCCAAATATACTAGCATACGAAAGCACTTGATTCAAATTAGTCAGGCGATCGATATAGTATGGCACTTTCGCCATCTTGTGGAGACACTGGACAACGTCAGCAAGTCTTGGGTGAGAAATCAGACATTGAGTGCATCCAAGAACATTAACTGTAGTTGTTTAGCCTGCTGCCATGTACCCCGAGTCATTGCCCAGCAGTGACGGGTGTTCATCTTTGTATCTACCTGAGAATGATGAAAACGGTGGCGTAAACAGTGTGCAGCTTGTCAAGGTGGAAGTGCAAATGAAGTCCGCGCCCTCAGCCTTCCAGGGTGAGAACCTTCCAGTTAAATGAATAGGCTTCTTGTGGTGATAGTGCAGCGCATTGTTTAGATCGTTCCCTGCGCACATTCAAATTTAATCGAGAACTCCTAAGGAATTGAATCGACTGCCTTGTTTTTTTCAAACGTTGCGCAGACTGAATTTATCGGCCCAGATGCGTTCATAGTCTCCGATAACATCCCGTGCATCATGTGACCCTGTGTTTCTGACCTGGCCACGAAATTGCTAGACGTGTAAAAACAGTTTTTGTTAGTCATATTTTGAAGCTGAGTTATATTTATGAAAGTAAAAATATGTAAACTGACCGGCGCTATTTGGTTGTTACGACGACAGCCCAGCCTGTCGTGTAAACTTCGCCATTCCATACAACATTCGTGAACTTTATTCAGGTTGAAAGTACGGAAGGACGGAAGGAGGAAAGTTTACACTTGAAGTCTGTCTGCCACGGTCTACACTTCACAGTTGATCATTTGGTCGTTGAAATAGGGAAGATGAAAAAATATTCGGCAATGTAATTGATGAATCTGGACCAGGTACTCAGCACGTGGACTGCGTTCAGCGCACTGAACTCAAAGCTTCTAAATTTTGGTAGATCCACTACCATGTTTATCGTCGCCTCGCGGGTCAGTGGTGATTTCACTGCCATCTGAAGTTTGCGTCAAACCGACTCAACGAGTGGAAGAATTTACACCAAACCTGGTGTCAGAGGAATGTGTGAGGATCATCAAAATTTTATGGCAGTTTCGTCCTTAAGATCATTTATGATCTCACCAGGACAACTGAGCAGTTAGTAAAAAGTGAGTTGGTGGAAAACTCTTCATTTACAGTTCACGAGACAGCGATATTGGCAGAATATAACAGGCATCTAACCCAGTTTTCCTTCCATGTAGAAGCCGTATCGGTGGGATGTCAAAACTAATCTTCATCTGGAAGTTGAAAGTTTATTGAACGAACGTCACGTGTTCATAAAAAATATATGATATGCCAAAAGTCCTGTTTCAAATAAGGATGAATACAATGTTCGCTGTATGCAGTTCTCACGTCAGTATATGGGCCTAGCAACAACCTCAGGGACGAACGCAACTTCGTTAAAAGGACACCGAATTTCTCCAGCTAATATGACGAGGACCAAAGGTCAGTAAAGGTTCTCAGAAGGAATTTTCAGTGCTGTAGACTTCATGAATATTCGACTATGCTCTGGCAGAACCCCCGATCAGCAAAGTGAGTAATGATCATGAATTTAGAATGTGATACGCCGCTCATCGACTGGTCAGGAAATACGCATCACTTGGTCACGTGTTGACCATCTCCAATAGTGACGACTTACCAGATGGAAGCTTCAAACATCTTGTAAATTTGCGCTTTCTATGAGCCAATCACAGCTGGGGACAAAATTAATAGATATGGGTAAAATATATACATTAGAGAAAGTTCTGGGGTGTGTCGATCGTCCGACGAATTCGAAAGCATCTCGATTATTTTAGCCGTAATCTGTTGTTGTTTCTTAAACTGGTCGTTCGTTGTCCACACAGATGGTATTCTTTCTATCAAATCTATCGTATCAGTGAACATAATAAATCAAAGACAGAAGAATTCGCCATGTCTGGTGTTGTTTGGGTGTACGGGTACTTGCTGGAGCTGAAAACCAAAGTGAATGTTTCCTTGGGATGGCTCTCGTCAGTTACAGTTTGAAAATCACCCCGATCAATGAAGTTGCATGCTCTCCTCGACTTCAGTCGACTGTCACGAGATATGATAGCGCTGGACTGACAAGGAACTGAGATTCGGTTGTCAGATATGTGGAGATGACTGAATTACGTTCTCACACGGGTTGCATGTTACAACCCACGACAAATCGTTTTCTTGACAGCCCATCGCCTATTGCCTAAAAAGGCGAAGAAAGCATGTCATATCGTACGGGTATTCACATTACTATCGCTAGTTGCATGGAATGGGACAGAAATGTACCATTCGGTATGCGGATAAAGTGCCTGTGTCCTGTGCGGACCACACGTAAGGGATGCATTTTAGCTGCTTAGCGATTGGTTGATTGTTGTGTTATCCTAACTCTTTGCTCCAATACGCTCCTCAACAATGCAGTGATGACGTCAACTCGATTGGTGATGAAACGCTTTTACAACCGAATTTCTCAGGTCAGCTCAACGAACAAACCAGCGACCATCTACGCTACATGAGCTACGAACATTTCCTCTACTGAAAACCATGGAAGGTGGCTGTGTTTGGTGAGCTGCGAGCAGCACAATTTGAGATTACCGGGAGCCTCTTTGATCATTCAAGCCGGAGATAACGCATTGTGCTGCACAGTTGTACGGTAGTTTATCCGCGATCGCCGCTAAACTGTTGTCTTTCAGCTGTCTTCGCACGCGCAACTGAACCCAGTCATCGCGCACCATACTTCGATTGACTTATTAAGTCTTTGTTTGACAGAATCCGTGAATAGTGTGATAGTGGCCAGCACGGTGTTTGGTTCGAGCCAACTTGCAGCGCGATTGCTCACCGAGTTTAGCCACAGCATTGAGGTGAAAGTGTATTCCCTTTTCTCCGTCTTGATGCCCGAGGACTGTTTAGAGTTCCTTTCCCGTGTTCATCCTTAAATATTTGTTGAGTACAGTTGCCGTCCTTGGCTGTATTCATCATCATCATCATCATCATCGCCAGCTGTAATAACCGCGTACTCGTCGTACTCTGGTTCTAGCTGCCGCAGTTTCTTTCACCGATGCTTTGGGGGGAGGGGTAGGTAGCTGCGCGTTGCAGGCGGGAGCTGATAAATTGGGGCATAGATCCAGCACTGTCAGTGGGGGTTGGAAAAGGAACTATGCATTGGAGGCAATAGCTTGAATGCACGAGCGCCATTGAGGGCGCGACTGGGCCATATCTGACAATGTCTGTAGCCATTGATGTGGCCCGTCTCGGGGTCCCCATCCAGGAAGACGGCAGTGACCAGCGCAGCTGGTAATGGCTTTCATACTTCTCTGCCAAGTCATTGATTGACCGCCTCTGACTCTTTTCCACCCTTCACATGGTTGGGCGAAAAGAGCCCTTCGAGGAAGT